ACCAGCTTTCAAAGGGAAAAATCATTGGAGTTATGCCTTATATTGCCCCAGAAGTGTTGTTAGGCGGTGATTACACATCAAAAGCTGATATTTATGGGTTCGGTGTTATTATGGCAGAAGTATCAACTGGAGAAAGACCATACGATGGATATCAATTTGATACTGACCTTGCAATAAAAATTTGTCATGGACTACGACCAGAATTCGCACCTGAAACTCCTAATTGCTATACCGAATTAGCTAAACTTTGTATGGATTCGAATCCACAGAATCGACCTACTGCTGAAGATATTAGTTCAAAGATTTATGATTGGCAGCAAATTTTAAGAGTTCGAGAATATTCGGCAAATGACAAAGAAAAACTTAAAATACGAGATGATTTTTTTAATGCTAATAAAGTTATTAAATTACCGAGATATTTGGATTCTAAATTTTCTAGTAAACTTATAAATACACAAGCGATTAAAACATTTTCAACTACTTTAAAAAAACATCCAGATTATATGTATACCAACAAAGTTATAAATACGGTAGAAATTATGCAAGCTTATAGTAAATCGATTGAGATCAATAAAGCAGGTGAATTTTCAAAAATATAATTATTTATTTTTATTTAAAATAACATTGAAAGTTAATTTGTAATTGCATAGATTCAACACTTTGCCATCTTAGTCTTTCGAACATTTTAAGGGGTATATTAATTTTTATATATAGGTTATTTAAAAATTACAAAATTTTTACTATGTAAAATTTTTAAATTCTGAATTTATAGATAATGATAATCATGCACTTTCTCATAAAAGAAAAGTATTAGATATTAATGGTTGGTTAAATTTTATTTAATTTTATTTTTACTATGCGTATGTTGTAATATATAGGTATTTAAAAATTATGAGATTTTTAAAGGTAACTCTTTTAAATTCTGGATTTATAGATAGTAACCATGCACTTTCTCATAAAAGAACAATATTAGATATTAATGGTTGGTTAAATTTTATTTAATTTATTATGTAGTTATTTAGAATTATAAAACTTTTAACAAGTAACTTCTTTTAAATTTTGTTTTATAGATAATAATAACCATGCACTTCTTCATAAAAGAAAACTTTTAAATATTAATGGTTGGTTAAGTTTTATTTAATTTTATTTATTACTATGCTTATATCTTAATACGTATATGTTATAAATTTATTATATAGTTTTGAGGAGGAAGAATCACACAAAAAATTAAAAAATTAAAAAGGTTTATATTTTAAATTTGGAAATTGCAAGCTTTCTTTTCTAAACCAATAGTAGCTTGCTAAAGTTAAACTCTTTTGTATTATAGTGGGTAAAATGATACTTAATTAGAGAATTAAAAGTATAATACCATATATAGTGTAGTTATAAAAAATTTCTTGCTTATTCTGTATAGTTAGATTTAGTAACTATGTAGCAATACAAAAATTATTTATATTGGACTATGTAACTACAATAAGAATTCAAGATCTATTTTCGGTTAATCTTTTTATTATAGTGGCAATAAATATACGGTATACCTTATATTATATACAAACAATTTTAAGTAAATTATGGTCTGCAACTAGAAAAATATATAAAAATTTTTATTATATAATTAGCTTCTTAAAATACTATAATTATTATAGTTTTAATTAAGAAACATATTTATTACTTTTACTTTATCATACTAAATATTATTTTTTTTTATTATTGAATTCAAGATTGTTCAAGAATAAATTTATACTAGCGAGATCAATTTTTTTCCTTTTATACAATTTCTATCACTCTTTAATCGTAGATACTTAATAGAATTTAACATCAAAATTGCAGTTTAAGCATATTTGTGATAATTTAAAGAAAATTTTGAATGTAGGAGTTTTAGTATAAAGAGATGCAATTATATTTACAAATTAATTAAAATGTTATGCTTAACTTTAATTTTCAGCTTGTAAATTTTAAGGTAACGATATAGAATTTAAGATCATATAGGTTATTATAATAGTAGTAAACTCGAGGTATAGTATACGCTAAGAGACTATATGAGTTTTTGCCTTGAAAATGATCTTACATGACTATGTAGATTTTATTTTATCTAATAATTCAATTCAAATAATTTACTTTTTTTTATTTTGTAGAACTCACTAAGCTCTACAAAATATATTATTGGATTGGATTACTGGATAGTTAGAAGTTTTAATTTTTATTCATAAAATCTACATAGTCCTGTAAGGTCATTTTCAAGACAAAGACCTCATATTATGAAAGGAAAATATTTAAAGTGCTTACACAATTTATGCTCATTTAAACTGCATTGATTAGTAGTTCGCAACCAGCAATTTACAACCCTAGCTCACATAAAATTTTTCCTTCGTGATTTTTGACCAATAAAATTTAAAGATCAGATTTAACATAAACTCTCAAAAAATTTATAATAACAAACAGTAAAAAATTTATACAGTCCACGAATTTATAATAGTGTTCTCGTGAGACCTCTGGGAACACTAATTAGATATTATTGAGCAATACCTGGGTCTTAATTAATAGAAATATTATTTTGGGAATATAAATAAAATCAATTACGCTGTTATTAAAAGTTGATATATATAAAAAGGTTGAATATTTATATATTTTTAAAAAAAATAGTTGTAAGCCTTAAAATTCAAGTTATTTATGATGCATAATAATGAAATGTTACAGTGAAATGGCAAAGTATTATTTGATATTATTATAATTTTCAAATTTCTATGAACTACCAAAATTTTTAGCTACAAATTTAAGACGCTTAATGTTCAATACTTTCAATTCGACAATTTCTTCACAATAATCTACAAATTTTTTAAATTCCCGTTTATTAAAATAAGTATATAATCCCAAAAAAGTCAATGTGGATGGTAAATTTGGAACTAGTTCAAAATATTGCCTAGTAAGTATGAAATGCACATTAATAATGAAAGATTTAAGAGTTGATTGCTGAAGGAAAGGATAAATAAATTCGAATGATTATGAACATAAATTAAAATTAGCTAACACTTTAAGATTTGAACAATTAATTAATTATGCATTTGAAGTTTCTTGGCCTAATTTATCCAGATGTAAAACTTTTAAAGCTGATCCCACATAGAAATTAATGTGGTCATCGAAATTTGAATCTATAATTTCTAATTTTTTGTTCTCAGATAATTAAGTGCAATGTGTTAATGTCATTTTGACAGTTATAAAAACTAATTTTAACTAAATTCTATATTATCTGGTGAGATTTTTGAAAAATCCATATACTATGATATAATCTCTTTTAAGTAATTCCCAAGATAAATTAACGCAGAAAAAAATCTTAATTTAACCTGTTTTTTCAGCAGATTTGATGATAACATTTCTTTGCATTAAGGCTTTTCTTGCTGCATCTCTATTACAGTCATACCTCTCTAAGTGCACCCTCTATAAATGCACACTCTCTCTAAATGCACACTCAAGTGCTGGCCCAAATATATACTTTACCTCCATAAATGCACTTTCTTATTATTCTCTATATGCACATTATTAATGTGTGGTCCCAAGGGCGTGCACTTAGAGAGGTCTGACTGTATAAAGCTGCATCTCTATTATAAAGAAGGCATGTTATGATCTCAATTTTCAAATGAAATTAAATATTCTTATACATGGCTATTATAATTACTTTTCCGAAACGTGATGTAAGCAATTGTTTGCGATCCCTTTCACTCCTGCATAACTAATTAATATAAACTATAGGACATGTAATTTTAAAGTATATAAAATGTGTCTAAATTATAAAATTAAACTTAACTTTATAAGTTTAAATCCAATAATTATTCCACAGAATAAAAAAAAACTCCTTAACTAATAAAACATTAAATCAGTAAAAAAGTTCACGTAACCAGAATCTTTCATATATTCATTCTTAACTAAGCTGTTTTCACTTGCCAAATTCGAAGTCTCATAAACAACAACATTTCTACCTACTGTATAATATAAGCATCAAGTTCTATTTTTTCAAATTTTTTGTGAGATTCTATAATATTTACGAGTTCATCGCTTTCATCATTAGGTAAATAAGATTTAATATTAAGTTATTTAAGATAGGGACATGCTTTAGATGTTAATGCATTTATAAATTCCAATATTTTCTTTAACCCGTAATTGTTTTAATTGTGATATTCCTGGTATAGTATTCAAGAATATTGATACTGTCGGAAACATAAATTGATCATTGATTAATAATTCTTCAAAATTTTCACTTCTTTGAAGAAACATTGTAATTAAAGATTCCATAATAATATTATATGCTAATGTCAACATTTTTTTATCATTACAACGTTCACCATTTTTGGTTGAACTAGTATCAAGAACCTTTAAGAAAGTTCCATATTCAAATAATGGTTTTGAAAGGTTGGGAAGTGTTATACTTAGAGATGGGTTTCATGCGTGCGCATGATTCCTCAATCGTGCGCATTAATGCGCATTCATGCGCATGATTCGGA